AAATATATTAATATATTTTAGAATAATAATTTTTGTAAAATAATATTCTAATTTATTATTATTTATATATATTAAATGTTTAGCCATTTACAATTATTAAATAACTTTCTTTCTCTCTCTTTCTTTCTTTCTTTCTTTCTTTCACATTTTTTAAATTGTATTTAATTATTTGTACCATTTTTCTACCCCTGAAACTTTATAAACAATTAGAGAAAAAACTGAATATATTAATCATGTATTTGGTCATTATATTATGTTAAAAATTAAAAAGTGTGTGTATATACATATAGTCAAACTTAGAAGTTGGTCAACAAAATTTAGAGGAGATATTGATGAGGGAATATTGTCACACATCAGACTTTGACTTTCTCTTGGCTTGGATACTCAAGTGTCGTCATATGTTGATTTCTTTAAATTGTGGTAGGATCCAATTCAGGAGCATTGGAAGATATTAAACATTGTGGAAGAACACACGCATGCACGCACGTGCACACAGACACACACACACAGTCAATCACACAACAACACGCTGTCACTCATGGGGCTCAGTCTGTGTTGTATGACTGACTGGGGTTGTTCCACTCCCACATCATTTCTGCATATGCTGCTGCCTGGCTTTGGCAATTAAAATGGAATAGAGAATCAGACTGAATATATTAACATGGCTCCCCCACCTCATCACTGAGCAGCTTCCATCACCATTCTCATGCTGCTCGCTGCTGTCGCTTCTGTTCTGCTGTCCTCCTTTTTCTCTCTGCTCTCTTGTTTTGTCTGTCTAATGCTCCCAGTCTTCATTGTTTGTGTCTCTCTTCAACACTCTCTCACTCTTTCTCATCTGTCTGGCTGTAGGCTGCTTATATGCAGTGCTGTCTGGAGATTTGAAGGGTACACGATGGCAGTTAGGGGGTAGCAAGTGTGTGGTGGTGTTTTTTGTTTTTTTATTGCTTGTAAATGTGAAATGTAATGTTTCAGAAGGCATTGACCAGCACTGTGATTTATTCATGTGGTACGTGTTCCTGAATCAACATCCTTTGTTGATCCTCAAACAACAGACCTAACAAATAAGCATTGCTGAGTAATATAAAAAAAAAAGAGTGAAAAAATTGCAATTAATGATTCAACCCCTTTTCTGAACTTTTCTGAAGTGTTTTTTTTTTATTGCAGTTTAGTGCCATGTTGAAAGTAATAATGTCAGTATATAATGTAATATTTGTAAATATCACATCATCCTTATATCATATATATGATAGTTATATCATAATTATTCAACCCCTATTCAGCACTTCTGTTTAAGTCACTTATTTGTAATGTATACACAACTGTGTATATATAAAAGCACACACACATACTGTATGTACGTATGTATGTATGTATGTTTTTGCCCCCTTCCTGTTTTTTAAATTTTTTGCATATTTGTCACACTTAAAAGATTCAGATCATCAAACAAATTTTAATATTACACAAAGATAATGCAAGTAAATACAAAATGCAGTTTTTAAATGATGATTTAATTTATTAAGGGAAAAAAGCTGTCCAAACCTACGTGGCAGGGAGTGGCCAAATCAAAATCTTTGTGTAATATAAAAATTTGTTTGATGATCTGAATCTTTTAAGTGTGACAAATATGCAAAAAATAAAAAAACAGGAAGGGGGCAAAAAACTTTTCACACCACTGTATGTATGTATGTATGTATGTATGTATGTATGTGTGTATGTAGAATGTATGTAGATTCAGCTGCCACTTGTTCTTGCATAAATCACATTAAGCTTATTTCTGAATATCGAAGGTGCATACATTGACACTTCTATGGCAAAAGACATAGAACAACCACTCTTCAACTTTCTTTCAAAAAACAGCTCAGATTGCCATACAGTTGAAGATTGAAGATGCTGATGACACACTTTTAAGAAATGGTTGATTTATCAGCCACAGTCTATTGTATTATCCCACATAATGCACCGTTGCCTGGGATTTAAATGCATGCCAGGAAAAAAAGTCACAGACAGATGAGTCATTGCTTAAAATGCCACTATTAGTGCATTCTCATCTCATTCTGATGCTTTTAAAACGGGTTAGTTATGAAACAAATATGAAATTCTCTTCTGGGTCTATGGCAGATCAGAATATTGTATATTTTGGGAAGTTTGGTAGGCGATGCATGTTTGCTGAATCAGAGCCTGTTCATATAATAGTGCAGTAATCCTTTTAAGTTATTGTTTCACATTATTACAGAAGTCATTGTAGCTTTCCAGGCATGGATTGCTTGGAGTAAGTATTGCTATGGGAGCAGTATAGATGCATATAATCAGGAGAAGCTTGAGCGAGAGAGGTAAGGGAGCGTGGAAGTGAACATTGTGCCCTTGAGACTGGGTCAGTGGCCCCTTATAGCTGTGATTTTATGAGTACATTGAATACCAGAATCTGTTTTCACTGCTGCAGATTATTCTTCCTGTCTAGCTCTGAAAAGCCAAACTGCTAAATAGATTATACATTGATTATACACTCTTGAGACAACATTGTGAATAAACAACTTTTATGAGATGTTTTGTTTTTAATGAAAATTACAAGTTCCTAAATTGTCTCCTCTTATTTTTTTTAATGGAATATTGCAATATTGCAGGAATATTGTTTATTATAAATGATTTACACTTACACATCCTACTTGCACACAAAAAATCGTTAATGTCCCCTCCACATCGCTACAAAATCTCTGCTTTAATCCATGTTTCACTTGGATATGTCACAATAGTGAATGAAAATCATTTCAGTTTCTTTTTCTGTTTCCAATTTGATCATTCACTGAATCCACTTAAGTGTTAAAGTTAACATCTGATTTGATTACGTGTGTGTGTGTGTGTGTGTGTGTGTGTGTCTGTCTTTAAAAGAAAGATTTCTTCCTGACAGAACAAAGAGATTTATTTTACAAATAAACTTATTTTCTTTTATAAGGTTTCAAAGTTGTATATTTTTTGTCTAAAATGTCAGATAAGCCCATTCTGTATTCTCAATTCATTCTTAATTTAAATTCAGTGCTAGATTTCTCAGTTTATAATAAATATTTGATATGACAGTTGTATTATTTATATATCAGATTGTGTTGACATACTGTGTGATGAGCAAATAAGGAAAAATACGTTTTGTGAGTAAATGGAGGTTGCATGAAAGCATAAGCGAATACCTCTGAATCCAAAAATAAATACATTGAAGTACATATAAGTTTTAGTTTTTGCACTTTTCACCCCAGTTTTTAACCTAATACTCAAAAATCAGTTTTAAATTTGTTTGGTGGGTTTCTGAAAGATTACCTAACATTAATGCTAATATAGCGTTACTAAGAACAGCTTTTAAAGCTTTCGAATGCAAAATTAATGTCGTAACCATTTTAGCTCATCCACACTATCCACACAAGTGTCTTGATCAGGGTCCATAAAAAAGCAGAATTGTTTCACCTAGTTTGGATTCAACTTGCAACCTTATTGTTTGCTGCTCTGATCCCAAATATATCATCTGATAAATGTCATTTTAACAATTCCAGATCTGCTGGAGTATTTACACGATGAAAATAATAGGGATAATCAATTAAGCTGATTTTGATGTTTCATTTGGTAATTATTTCAGCTTGCAGCTATAATGACCAGAGTTCATGTGAGAGATGTTATCATTAGATGCCAGTGTCATAAATACATATGCGTGCAATATTCAGAGCCTGTTTGTACCATTGTTAAAAAATTAATGAGGCCTAGCCAGATAATGTTGAGAGCTGTGCAAACAAATTGCCTTTGCCATCACCATGTGTGTATGTGCATATAAATGTATTGTCGCAGTGTTATCAAACGCATGCTGTGCGGTATGTATGTCGGCCTTCGAGAAATCCTACATTTTCTAAATACCTCCATGCTGGAGATAAAAAAGGCAGACACTTTGTAGCATAAATTATTGATGCACAGCATGAAGGCAAATACTATCTCACTCTTCTTTTATTGGTTAAAAATATTTTCGGACCCACTGGTGCTTTCAGGTTTTGTCTCGTGCACACACTTTTTAATTTGATTATTCATTCATCATAAAGAGGTTGAATTGTGAAGTTTTAGCCTTTTGAATGCCTTTTATTCCTTCTGATATATGGTGAAACAAACATTAGTAATGTGGAATAAATACCTTGTAGCATTTCCCGTACACGCCAACATTGATTCCCAACAAAAGCCTGCAGATTCATAGCGTTTCTGTTCGCTAGTATATGCATCTTTTCCCCCATTAGAGTCAACCCGGTTCACTCCCCTTTGCGCCTGTAAGAATAAAATTGACCTGATATATGAGGATTAGGAATTGTGGGACATGAGGAATGAGTTCGGTAAATCTAGGGTGAGTAAATATATCAGTGTGATTTATATGGCTCTTAATAAATCCAACTTTACACTGGGGAAAGCACTTATCCAATAAGATGGCAGATTCAGCCAAATGTAGCCAATCAACCCCGGAAAAGCCTGGTTCATTCAATTGAGCTGAGGGACTGATTTAATTGTGAAGCTATTGAGGCCGGATCAGGCGCTAGCTGTTAGCCATGAATCTAGCAGGCATTTCCTGTTTGTATGTCGCTGAGTGACTCGCTCGTTTCCTTCTACAATCCCCTCATCCCACTCCTTGTCAAACGAGTGCAGCGTTATGAAGCGGATTGCTAGTTGTCAAGCCTGTCTAATAGAAGTTATTGGAGCAAGCAGGCGTCTCGTGCATTCTCGCCTCACTGGTGTGAATGCTGCCTCGACGTGTTGCACCTGCTGGAATGTCAAGTGGCTGAAAATGGTTCGAGTGAATCTGTTGTGATTCCAGATCGCTGAAGCAAGGGGTCTGGCCTGATAACGTGCACTCGTCTGGAGTGATAATGTGTGGGGGGTGGATGTGATCTTTGTGGCTGTGGGGCCCGTGGCAGGATGCGTTTTTGTTGTTTGCCAAATGCAATAAAACCACTGTCTCTGTTTCTCTCTCTGTCTTTCTCTTCCAGTGTGGATCTGGTACACGCTCAGCTGAGAGTGTGTGAAGGTCGCAGCCTGCCCGAGCTGGGCTTGAAACAGGACAAGATACGGATCAATGGCTATGCCATCCAGTGCCGTGTGACCACGGAGGACCCGGCACGTGGCTTCCAGCCTGACACGGGAAGACTGGAGGTAGGTTAACATCCTACATTCAACAGCTGGGCCATCACACATCTCTCCTCAGCCATGTTTCCAGAGAGAAAAAATGAAGAGATTTTTTTTTTTTTTCTTTTTTCATTTATTAGATTTTTATTTTCTGACTGTTATTTGAAAAAGACTGCAGTGGACATCAGCAGTCTGTGGATTTGTGCATCTGAACGTATGTATTTACAGACTTTATTTAGCAGATTTTATTATAGCTGAAATAATTAAATTCAGTATTAAATACATATAGTTTAGACCTTCATCACAAACTATTCCAACAACAAAAATATGATGAATTGTGTTGATACAGAGTAGGTTTTTTTTTTTTTTAACGTATGTGTTTGTCCCCTTGTGAGAGACAGTTTAATTTATATTTATTACATTGACAACATATTAACACTGACATTATATTATTATTATTTTTAACAAGTCTAAATGCAGATTTATTTTTTTTACTGTTAAACCTACTGCTCTCAGTAGAATAAAATAATTGCAATTAACCTTGTAAATTTGATAAAATTTCTCATCTGTCCTTATTTCAGAAACCAGATTTCCTATGGAATCAAATTTGGTGAACATCATGCTGAAATCATTAAGTTAAACAGATTTCATTATTATCTTAAGTGCACACATTAACTTTTATATATAAAAAAAAAAAATACATGTTGGAAAAAAAAATTCTAATATATATGACCATGTTCAGTATTCTTCTATATTTGTTCTACTTTTATAAGAAATTACTTTTTCATGGTGTTGTTATTGTTATGTGCAGGCTTTTATTTATATATATATATTTTTTTTTTATTACTATATTAATATTATTATAATTGTTGCAATTAAAAAAAAAATGGCATCACTCGGAATATCAATTTCTTTTAAATGTTAGACATATTTATTTTATTTTTTTTGTGTGTCTGTGAGTATCTGTACAGGCCATTTTCTAAGTCCTGGACCATGTCTCAAATGACATACAAAACGCTATATGGTCTTATTTCATGATTCAGGAGGGTGCTCATGGGTGCACCCTTTTGGGGCTGCTGTGCGCCCCTGATGAGTTCTTTTAGCTGACTGGTAAAGTGTAAAACCCTGGAAGGACCACTAGGGCTGACGGGCACTTCTTCCAAATATTGGACTGGCCGAAAGCTTTGGTGTAAATCACTGACCACCACAAACACGTCCCACACACACTCTGTAGCTGTGCTCTTCTGAAGTGTGTACCTGCATGTGGTGATATCGCGGAGGTGTGAAATTGTCTGAGATGTTGCTGACGGAAGCTTTTACCATTGAGGCCTTATGGAAATGATTTGTTTGCGGATGAATAATTGAACAAATATTGATATCAGCTTTCTGTGCCCAGTCACTGTTGAGCTGCAAGCCTTACATCTGTCCAAATATCTCACAGATGCAACTCGTACTGTCTGTCTGTGCGGTTATCTGGTTTTGAGCCACAAGGTTAACCGGGGTCTCTTGAGGATATCTGATCAAGATCTTGCAGGCTAGATGTGTATATATACATAGAAATGCCCTAAGGAGTCGACTAGCCCACAAACCACACGCTGTAGTCATCCAGTTATACCCACATTCCGCCAGCTCATTGGCTAGACAACCCCGTATGGTCCAGATGCATCATCGGATGTGCCGTGCCTGGGCGAAATCTTTGTTCCTCCATCCAGCCACAGGGTCTTGGCTGTATCAAAAGAGAGCTGGATCTCTCTGATAAGGATGTTCCTCCATTACCTTTAGAAAACTGTTTGGCGCTCAGCTTCAAAGACTGACGTGGACATCCTGTGATGTTGGAAGAATGTTTCCACTTAAGAGGGATGAGGATCCATGCAGATGGAGAGATGAAGGGAGAGGGGTGGGAGAAGCAGTGAACTTGGGCGAAGTTAAATGTTATTGCGGAGAGATTCCTTCAGCATGGGTCTCTGCATTTGCCAGAGCTAAAACATAGAGAAAGCGAGTGAGAATTCACCAAACGAAGTGTGAGAGAGAATATGAGATGGTTGTAAGAGGGGAAAAAAAGAATTTGAGTGAGCATCCCTGATCCAGAAGATGAGAGCTTCAGCATCAGATTGAATGTAGTGGGGAATTATGGGTATGTATTGACCGATAATTAGGCTGAGAGTCTAGACGGTTGATTGAGAAAGATAATAAACCAGTGTTCAAAAGTAACACTCACCACGCAAGAATGAAAATTGGCTTTGACGATTAAATAACACCAATACAATCCAGTTAGTCTGTAATTTTATTAAGACCTGCAATAATACAGTAGAATCACATTGTATGAATGATGGACTGACCCTTTACATCAGCCTAAAACAGAAAACTCTGTTGCAACTTCTTGCAAATGTTGCAATGACTTATAATGACTTTACTTCAGTGGAAATTTATCATCTGAAGTTTATATAGAAGGTGCTTTTTTCTGTGAAATACAGCCTATTTCTTCCATCAAATCTCTAAAATGACAAAACCTTGATTAATCTTCGTTTAGTGATGGCTAACGGTTGAGAAAGGTTGCTTAATTTTATCGCCATCTTACAAAAAAAAAAAAAATCCATATTTTGATGCCTCGATCATATTTCTTAATGTTTCATTGAGAAATGGTGCTCATAAGTACATGATTTGTGTGTGACTATATGTATTAGTATGATTAGTGTGCGTTTTCTGCAAGCACACAATAATCTGTGTCGTTTGTCAAAGGAAAAATGGCTAAATCATCTTGGGAGCTAAAACATTTTTTAATAAAATATCGCAAAATACAGTATCTCACACCCAACTCTGGCTGTAGGTCTGAATGATATTGAATCTCTGCAATATATTCACAATAATTTTGCTAATGATCTGAAACTTACAAAACTTTAAAAGCTGGCATATTTTAAAACTGAACTTTTTTAACTGTTTCCTAATAAACACATCATTAGTCATTACATTTAAAGTATTCCTTGATTTGCGAGTACGGGACATTTTCACGTAAAAGGGTTTTACTGTTAAAGCTCTTGCATTTAAACAGTTTGAATATACTTGGTGAGAGCAAACACAAAAATTGGGTTTTATATTTAACATTGTCAGATATATTGAGATATGCTACTGTTCAAAAGTTTGAGGTAATTTTTTTTAAAAGAAATTAATACATTTATTCATCAAGAATGCAATAGGCTACATTGAGCAAAATTGACAGTAAATACATTATAAATAAATATAATAAATACCTAATGAATGTTGTTAAAACTCTTTAAACTGAAAAATTAGGGTTTCCACAAAAATAAGCAGCACAACTGTTTTCAACATTAATAATAAGAAATGTTTATTGAGCATCAAATCAGCATATTAAAATGATTTCTGAAGGATCATGTGACACTGAAGACTGGAGTGATGGTTGATGAAAATTCAGCTTTGCCATCACAGGAATAAATTGCATTTTAAAATGTATTAAAATAGACAACAGATATTTTAAATGGTGATGATATTTTCACAGTATTATTGTTTTCACTGTATTTTTCATCAAATAATTTCTTTCGAAACATTCGAAAATCTTACCAACCCCAAACTTTTGAATGGTATTGTATAATGTATAAATTTTTTTAACTATGTCAGCCAGGTCTAATTGGCACATGTGGTAAAAAAAAGTAAAATTTGTATTCTAGGTTGAATGTTTCTTGTGGCCTTGGATAGGAACTTGTGAAAAAAAAAGGCGAGACTGAGATGGAGAAAGGCAGTGCTGTGAAGGTATAATCAGCCTGGCGTTAGATCTTCTCCCATTTCAGTATGTCAACACAAGCTCTCCTGTGTTTGTGTGCAGTGGTGACTGATGTGAAAATAAGGCCGCAGGTAAAGAGAAAAGCGCCGCTCTCTCGATTCCTCTGTCTGCTTGGAAGTTTCTCCTCACTTTCTGACGTGTCTGATGTTGTGCTTCAGAGGGAAAAGAGGACGGGTGGTGTGGTGTCGGCCGAGCTCTTGTTTTGCAGGGAAAATGAATGCAAAATGGGTAAAGTGAAGTGCTGGGATGAGAGCATGTAGGGAACAGGCACTGAGAGCTCTTCTTCGCTTTTGTTTCTGAGGGATAAAAAAAAAATATGGCTGTTGTCTGAAGGGTGCTCTCTGTAATCAAATGAGAGCGAAGGAGAGGAGAAGGTAGAAGCATTTAGCATAACATGGTGCATCAGAGGAAATATGTTCTGTATATGGGCAATTAAAGTCTCATCTTCCCTCTAATTCCTCAGATATGAGGCTCGGATGATTTATATGTGTAGTTTCAGATGTAAACTGTTATAGGGTCTGGGCTTTGAATGCAGAATTTATTGAAGCGTAGCTATGAAAAAAATGACGAGCCTCTTTAATGGTGGTGGTACTTGTTTTATCCTCATGTTGCATGTGTGTGCGAGCAAGTGTTGGTTCATTAACACATAGGCTCTTGCTGGCGCGCTGAGAGAACATAATGCTGATGAGGAGGATCGAGTGATTTGCATTATCATCATAATAAACATAATTATGTTGTTGAATGTGCTGATGGTAAATACTGCTGTGGTGGAAATGGGAGTCCGTAATTCACGAGGCGAAGAACAGCGTCGCTCCTCCATTTGCTTTCTCGTTTGGTAAATGGAATTTCAATGTTCAGAGGAAGTTGGTAATTTGTGCTCCTTTGGCTTCTGCACCTTGGCTTTTAGCTTTTTCCCTTGGGTGGATCCTCACTAGTCATTTAGGTGGTTGTGATTGGCAGTTTCTATGAATTAGGTACGAGTTAGGACCTGAATGTAATATAAAATTGAATAATGTAAATTTAATTTATGTCCTAACATATTTAAATTATATTACTTATTTTTTATAAGCTTTTTTATTTTATGTTTATTTGATGATGTTTTGGGGTTTCTCAACCCTGTTCTCACATAAAGCTGATTTTGTTCTTTCCTAGCAATAAACATTAACATAAACATCAAAAGAAATAGAAAAAAATAAAAAATAAATGCTCAAAATAGGTAACAGGGTTGCAG